TTTCAGCGAAGCGTTTTCACCTCAGCAACAGTCACTTAACGAAATAGCATCAAATCATATCAAAAAAAAGCAACGTCTATGAGGAAGCAACAGTGGATTAGAGTTAGAGAAATATGCCAGGGTAAGTACTCCTAAGGGTCATCCTTATCCTGCTCTTCTTCCTCATCAATTATATCATCATCAACAACAGCAGTAACAACACGTTTGTCGTTATTAATGAGGACTGCGGTTGCCGCCATCATTATCAGCGACTGTTTCAGCTTCAATTCTTTCAATTGATTTATCAGCCGCATATGTTTTCATTCTCCGCTGCTGCTGAAAAACCGAAACAAACTTTTCATTCGCTCCTTACTGATTCATTAGGGAGACAGAAAAATCGGTAGCTGAACCGTATTGTCCGATGTCAATGATCAGTCAGTGAATCACACCAAAAGTTATGATTGCGCAACTGATCTCTTACCTGTCCAGTTCTATATAAATCCTTGAATTCTCCATCAGTGCTGCTACTATTAATAAATAACCGCATGATAATTCAAATTCTCTGGTAAAATTACGCCATTATTTAAATTATAGTTACCAATAACCTCTGATCTAGATCTAATATTTCGGCTTTGTTTCGGGTCTATTTCTTTTTTCTGCTTCTGCACATAACAATTTATCGTGCTTTTGGTGGTACAATTTGAATTGTAACGTATTGTTGGCACCATGGGTCATTGCACCTCACGCGACCAAAAAGATCAGAAGAATTTGAACCGTCGAATCGATGAGCAAATCAAAAAAGATCAGTCAATGTCACTTCGTATCATTAAACTTCTTTTACTAGGTACGTCCGACATCTAAAAATCTTCATCTATACCGCATTTTTCATCATTTCAATAGAATTTCCGATTAAGTCTTATCCTAAACATAACTCTAACATCACAGACTTAGAATTTGATGTGGTAATAAGTGAAAACTGTTGATGGGTATCACTGTTTTTCAAAATAAGGCAAATTTACAAAATTAACCATTGAATTCTCGATGAACAATGGATACTTCCTTATGGTACCATCTAAATGGCTTCAAACTTCACAATCATAATACGCTTCCACTTCACCTTTGAAGCCTTTTCTCTGTTGATGCTTTCTTGTCGTATAAAGCGATATTTGCTGTAGTAGCTATTGTTCATCAAATTTGAACTAATCACTGAAAATTATAGAAATTTCAGAACATCGTCCTCTTACCATGTAATGTTGAAGAGGGGCTAGTTTTTAAATTTGAATAAATTAAGTGAATAAATATCAGTAGTGTTCGTGTTGTGACACTTAAATGAATGAAAACCATAAACAACAGTTTCAGTTCCTTATTACAAAGAATCCTGTAGCCATTTCAAAGGGTTGAACCGATTATTTTTACTATTTGTTAAGCAGCCATTTTCAAGACGTTTTCTTCAGTTTAAAATCGAACACTGTTTAATTGGGACGAGACTTTTTCGATTAATTGTTAGATATTATTCAGTAACAGTACCCAGCAATATAGCACTAGTATTTAAAACTACTGCAGTTGCTTCAATAGAACTATGAATTTCCTTATTATATCCAGAATCTTTTGGTCTGCACTGATAAAGCATCATTTTACTGTCCTTGTCCTAAAATTTGCATTTGAATATTAGTTCTTTAGATGAATACTTTTTTGGGTTGTTTTTTAATGATTCTATGCTGCAGTCATCATTTCATTGTGCATCTCATCATAGTATTGTAAAAGAAACTTGAAGTTATTTTTAAATAACGAATAATTTAGAAGTGCTATGTATCAACAAAATGTAGGCATTATGCAATTCGTAATGATACATATTGTTTTGTGATTTATCATTCAATTCTGAAGTTGAACCATGAAATGAAAGTTAAATTATACTAAGCAATATGTCCTATCATACAACATTACTTCTTATTAATTCTCCCTTCGCTTCCACATCTTTTTGCACTCATCGTCTTCAATATCTTTTTAACAAACTTTGTCACATAACTTGGGAATATATTTCCATCCTAACAATCTTCATATTATATATCCCTGCAAATTGAAAAATAATTTAATATGAATAATTCCAGGAGCTGGTGAAAGTGGGAAAAGTACAATACTCAAGCAAATGAGGTCTGTAAAGCGCTAAATACCTTATATCAATATCAATAGTGTTTATTTATTCGATGTACTTCAGAATCTTAGCAAGCCAAATAAATTTGTTTATGGCTTGAATTCTGGATACCACAAAGTAAAAATATTAAAAATTGGCACAAACTGCACTCCTTCAGATCATTCAATAGCGTTTGTTATGCATCCTCCTTAAAGTGACATGCAGTTTTTAGGGGAAATGATAAAAGTTGTCAGTACTAATATTTATCCCCTGGAAATGTTTTGAAAAGTATAACAGAATTTCAGAAAGAATTTAAGAAAATTCAAAGTAGAGGATGAGGAGTGTTTGAATATTATAAGTGCTATGTTTGTAATTATTCAGGATATTGCACAAAGATGGATTTTCACAGCAAGATCTGGAGATGATAAGACCAGTGGTTTACAGTAACTGCATACATTGCATGCTAGCA